CAGCACCACATAAGCAAAAAGAAAAAAGCCGGAAGTGGCGCTGTGGCTCAAGTGGTAGAGCACTAGCCTTGAGCTGAAGAGCCGAGGGACAGCGCCCAGGCCCAGAGTTCAGGCCCCACGACCGTACCCCCCCCCCAAAAAAAAAGAGTCTCATGGACTTTCCTGCTCGAGCTGGCTTTGAACTGTGATCCTTAGAGCTCAGCCTCCTGAGTAGGATTACCGGTGTGAGCCACCAGTGCCTAGGTACTCATTGCTTTTGATTTCTGTTCTTTTTTTTTTTTTCTGCCTAGTTCCCCTTTATTAAGACAGGAAAATAAGGAGTCAGTGAGACTAGGTTTTTTATTCTATTAGACCCCTCCCCCACACAACATTCTAGGAAGCAAAGTAATACAACAAAGAACAATGGTGTGAACAATGAAATACATAGATAAGATCTTCTGTTTTAATTTTTTTAAGATCTTCTGTTTTATTTTTTTATCCATATCCAGTACAAATAAGATAATTATACATTCTGCAATAGATTAGGAATTAACAGGGACATATAAGACCATACTCATGAGCTTCAAATGACTAAGCTGGAAGCATTAGCAAACTCCAAGAATGGACAATGCAAAGGCTCTAATAGGCTTAGTGCTGCTATTTAAAGTAATGAATTTTCTCTGCTTTTTGAATTCATTTTACCAAACCATCTCCTCAGCAGGTCTGATATATTTTGATTTCTGTTTTAAAGGGCTTATCTCAGCAATAGGATATTGTCTTCTTACCTCCCTGTTCTGGCATACTGTAGTGACTGGATTGGGTTTGTAGTAAAGAAAATCCTGAGAGAAGACGTGATAGCACAGAAATTGTAGTAAAGCAATTCCTTTCTGCAGAGAGAGAAGGCCAGCTCTTGCCAACTTGACTTTTGGGGCTGGATGTTGATAATGTTGACCCTTGGCTTGTCTTTGGCAGGTGCTGTGTGCCCAGGAGGCTCCCCGGAGGAGCATCTCCTCAGTAAGTACCTCTCTGAGGAGTGTGTGCCCACGTGCGTGTTTCTGTATCTTTGTGCGTGTATACACACGTCAGTGTATACACACGATGTGTACATACGTGTGTAC